GGGGCCTTATGGAGCCAGCCTCTATGGCCGTTAGAGGAACTGCAGGTTTTGTTAAAGCATCATGTTGATAATAAAACAGTGAAATTTCACAGATAAAAGTTGGTCTAACACTAAAAACTCCTTCAAAAAGAGCTTAACTCAGAGTGAGTTTACTGGTTTTTACTTGTTTCGAGGTCACTTTTGTAAGTCAACAACAGAAACAACTCTTTACGTACATCCCTTTTTCTTTAATATTTCAACAGTACAAATTATATCCGACTTGAGAAACATGACATGAGAAACACATCGCTTCACATTTCTGAATATTCATATTCATCGAGGACATTCTGGGCCACTGAGAAATCACCTGAGAGAACGAGTTAGGAAAACCGATTCAGTTTTGATATGACTTTAAAACAACAAGGGAGAAACCAAAATATGCTTTCGTCCACTGCGGCGCCTCCTCGTATATGTTGAGAAATTAATTAGTAAAAACACCGGTACTGTACAATAATGACCAGCAAATATATTACAGCAACAACCACTTTCCACAAATCTCATCTTCATTGCAAAAAAATAAAAACATCAACAAAAATATTGAACATTTTACAACATATCAATCAGATAAATCAGTTAAAAGTCATACAAAGTGTGCAAATGTCACCGTACGGTCACAAGACGACTTCTTAACAAAGGCACCGTACTTCTTCACTTCCTTGTCTGACGGCGCTGAGACAACTTTAACTTGGGGGGGTAAAAACCGTCCTGTAGGTCGGATTGTTTCGAAAATAAAACAACGTGCTCTACAGACGTCGCTGACTGCACGATATGATTTGTTATTAATGTACATGAAATGAAGTTGGACGCATTATAATTTAATTTATAATTATTACCCCCAATACAAATTCTGCATATCTGATGCGTAAAATCAAACTCTCCTTATTATGCTTTTTCCTGTATTTTTAAGTTTTTCTGTCACATATATCGTAACAATGTCAGATGTTGATATATATCGAGGTCAAAGTGTCAAATAATTACACATGAAAAAAGTAATCCGTTAGTTCAGGTTCTCACAGAAAAGTTTTTTCATGTGATGTCTTACGACTTCTCTGCCTCAACTCTCGGATATGTAAGACGTTCACTGATGGACATGTTAGACTAAAGGATAATCAATCTAATTCTTATCTCATTTGTGGTCTGATAAACAATAAATTAAACTAACGCAGCTGCCCCATAAAGCTACTGGAAGTTAGCATAAGAGGTCCCCATTAAATTGCATCTTATCAGACATTAACAGACCACAAGTTGAATATTTGTTATCCTCGTATCTCTTCTACTCAGCAACAACTTATTAAAAGTGTTACCACCTGTAACCAATGTTTAAGCATTTAGATTTAATCAATTAGTCGATATCAAAAATTAAAAAAAAAAAGTTTCTTATTAAAGCAGAAACTTCAAACTTCCTCGAATGTGAGATTTGAATATTTTGGGCGACATTTTATAGACCAAACTATCAATTAATCCAAAAAGTAATCCAGATTAAAATATTATTATTAGTTGCTGCCTTATTTGAGGCTGCTCAGATTTATTTTCCTTAATTAAACAATTAGTGATTTAAATAGATTTTATCATATTTCTTTTTGAAAAGTTGTGTTACAGACTACGTGTGATCAAACAATAGTTGTTGAAAAAGGAATAAAATAACAAAAAGGTCACAATGAGTAGAAGCTGTTTTCTTTTGGAGGCGGTCATACACAACAACCAAAAAAATAATGTAAACTCAGGTTATCAAACAGAGTGTAGGGCTGTCATCTTTTAATTTAAAAATTAAAAATTTGTTGTGTTTGAACTCGTTGAGTCCGTTTCCTTAAAATCCAACAGAGCTGGTCAGTAAACTGCTCGTACGCCTCCGTTAGCTTGTAGCATCAGACGAGTAACATCAATCGTATAACAGCGTTTGGATCGTCACCATAGAAAGATTTATCTGCAAGGACGTTCGGTCAGCTGGTAGGAGCTGATCCTTCAGGGTCAGTGGACTTTACGGTCACCAGGCTTTTATTTCATTTTCAAAACAAAAATACAAAATTAGTTTTAATTTGTTTTTTTTATTATTATTTTTAAAATAAAAGAAATTGTAAAACGGGTACATTTCTTCCATTTTTATTAAAAAACAAAAAAACAAAACAAATATATTTATGTTTTTTATTTAAAAAAAGAAAGAAAAGAAAGCCAGTTTTTATTTTCAGAAAACAAAAAAAAAACAAAAACAAAAAAAAAAAAAATCAAAAGTCGGTTGGCCATAAGGTCCACTGATAACTTTAATGTTTACGTTTTTCCAGTTTTAATGTGTTTTAACTTTTTTTTTTTTTTTTAAAGCTGCGTGTCATTCCAAATAACTTTATTTTTGGTAAAAAAATAATAGCCCTAATATAGTAAGAGCCACTTTACCGTAATCTGGTTATTCTAATGAGCTCGTAAACAACCGCCAGACTCCTTCATAAGGTGTAAAATAATGACCCCAAAACAACAATTCAAACAATATTAAAATAAGAAAGTCAATACTTTGCATTTTGGACGACCCCTGTGAGTAGTGCAAAATCCTCTCTCGCAGTGCGAAAGCCTCGGACGGCAGTTCAGTGGCACAGATGCACTAATACTGATGATCCACAGAGATTCACCGCATACGCCGAAGTTCAGAAAGTTCACAAAAGCCACAGTCTGAGCACCACCAGAGAGATTTTAAAACCAAATGAACTGTGGCTGAAAAATGTGGGCTACAGTCTTCCTCACAGAGGACACGTATGACCGTTCGTCTTCCATCAAGTATGATCTCAGAAAACACAGAAATAAAGAAAAACAGCAAGAGAGAGAAAGAAAGGTCACCAAGAAGCAGGTTTAAAACAAGTTTGTGTGCAAAGCTCCCTCTTGCGATAGCAGATTATCAATGAAGTCAGTGGCGATAGATCCGATTACAAATCACACAAACGTCCTCGCGATAACGTGATACTTCGGAGTATCAGCAGCTCCTGTTTTTTTTTTTCTTTTTTAAAACATCGCCCAGTACATCCACACGACCATCGTACCAGCAAAACAGATTCATAGGGAGAAACAAAAAAGGTCAGATTGTGTAAATATCTATAAAGATTGTTCACACCGTCGGGACTGAGATGCATCTGCAGTGACTTACAGTGACTTTAAAGGTGCTCTGTGGAGGTTTTCACCACTAGAGGGAGTCTCCACTCTGTTGGTGGTTGTGTTATAAGCGTTCCCTTAATTCTGCCTCCTTAAACCGGCAGTAACTGATTCTTTTTTGCCACTTTGGGGGCAACAGAAACAAGTGTCACAGACTTGTTGTTGGCACATTTACAAATCTTGTAGTTTTGGAGCAACATTAGCATTAATGCCAGCAATTTTAACTTGAATATTTGCTCTCTTTTAGCTCCGCTTTTGGTCTCTACCAACTCCTGAGGGTCTCATAAGCGGCTAAATGCTTCAGTATGTTCACCAGTTAGTCGTTTTCCAAATTTAAGGAAATCCTGAAAAATTCACATCATGATTTTAATTGTTTCTTCAGTCAAAATTAAATTTGTAATGCAAAAACCTACTTATATCTACAATATTAGAGTTGTGTGTTTGATTATTGAGGTTTAGGGTTTAATGATGATAACAGAGCTGGAAGAGAGGTTTGTGAATATGGACTAACTGGCAACAGTCCACTGGTTCCCAACCTTTTCAATAAGGGACCCCTTTTTCTATCATTTAGTAAACTGACAACCCCCCTTTAAGTGACACTTTATTAATATTTCATCTTGTATTAAAAACTGTACAATGAACCCAAACAGTGAACTCAGTAACTGCAGGAAGTTTGTGTGAAACAAGAGATTTGGATGTGTAGAAAATACAAGATTTAAGCATATTTTGCTGTAATGTGCTTTCACATTACACGTGTGCTTCAGCAATTAGAAGATAACGTCTCTATGTGGTATCACACATTCAGGGTTCTTTAAGAGATCATTTTCCAGGTGGTTTTCTTCACAATCCAGGACAGCATTTGCTCACAAACGTTCGTATAATGTTTATCGGACACTCCTGTCAGACAGTCGTAGGCGATCTGAGTGAGTAGCTACAACTAACATCTTACAGGACAGAGTGGATTGTTTGTAATTTTAAACCAATTTCGAAGAGTTTACTGGAAAAGTGGCCTATAGTTTTCCAGATTTTCCATGTGAGAAACCTGCCCAACCCTATGTGTTACACACAAAGCTTTACCAAGATGCATTTCAGTGCCAGGTGTGAACCGGGAGAGGGGGCACAGATTAATCTAATGAGTATTTTCCCACCCTGTACTGGAGTGACATCAATAATCTCCTGAGATCTCCCATTTAGAAATTCCCCTGATGTAAAACACCACCACAACGGCATGGCACAGAACTGAAGCAGGACTATATCAACTATACAGCCAACACGATTACGCTGTTATACCAAGAAGCTGTGTACATTACAATGAAGTCTATTGCGTCTCCTGTTCGGTGAGGGGAGGGCGGGCGGCGGGGGAGTCACAGCCGGGTCACATTTACAGGTTTGAAGAGGAAATACATCAAATTCATAACTTTTACAACCACTAAACTCAAGTGGGGACGATAATATCCAGGTGACGAGTCTACGGGGGAAAGTTCAGCTGCCCTCGGTTGTCTTTAGGGAAATATCTAACACCACGAGAGGGCGGAGGAGTAACGGGCGCCGCGAGCAGCAGCCGAGCCGGTTGGGAAACGGAGTCAGGTCCACGCCACTTTGCGAGAGATTGCCTGTTTGAAGCACTCGGGGTCGATGTTGCCTCCGGGCCGCAGCGCCCTCTCCAGGCTCACCAGCACGTTTTGGTGGCACTCCCTGATGTTGACCGGGTACTTGGCCCTCAGAAGCTCGTAGGCGGCTATCAGCCTCATGTTTTGTTTCACCATCAGGTACTGGATGATGCACGTCGGCGCCAGAGAGAACCCGTCTCGACAGTGCACCAGGACGCGCTTCCTCTTCCCCGTGGAGGCGCCGATGCACTCGTTGATGTCCTCGAAGCAGCGCTGCTTCAGGGCGGGGCCGTCGCCCAGAGCGTCCGGCACGTCTCCGATATCCACCTTGAGGCGGGACCAGCTGTGGCGGGCGCCGCGGGAGCAGGTGCACG